TGTGTATATGACAAAAACTCGCGGAGTTATTTAAATGGTTTTGCGAAATTTCTGTCAGATCCCGCCGGCGGGATCGCCGGTCCCAAGGGGTTAAAGATAAATGTTTGTGTCTTGGAAAGCGTTTAAATGTTAATTACTAGGCCTTTTTAATGCATCATGTGTCAGCTGCCAAAATGATGCATTTCTTCAGGTTGAATGCAAGGTTTTGTGAGTATGGCTGTAAAGGTACTGGGAATTAGAGCAGTGTCCGCGACCCATAAAAGACCCAAAGGGCCCCAGCCGGGAGATATCCGGGAAACAGTTCAGGAGATGTCCGGGAAACAGTTCAGGAGATGTCCGGTTTCATAAACCACTCACCGGCAGCTCAGAGGCATTTGTCGCCATGACGCCGTGCAGGTCTGACTCCGCGGTACTGATGCAGGTGCTGATGGTACCACAGGACCAGGGTGAGTACTGGCTCAGGCTCTCCTTGCATCCCACACAGTCTTTTCCCACGCTTTCTGAGAGCTGGGAGATGGGAAGACCGGCAGGGGTTGGGGGGGTCAGGCATGGGATGCTCTATTTTTCTTACTCACTCCCACAGATGTTCATGCTGCCCTGGAGACAGCTTCGACCAATCACATTTATTTAAAGCATGTCCAAGAACTGGGGAAGCGTGGGAGAAAGCCCACTCAATCACATGACCAGGTTATACCCAGATATGTGACAGGTTAACAACCTAATGGCCTTCCTCACACGCTGCTGTCATTTCCAGTAAACATACAAGAAAGGAAACAGGAAACAAATGATACGAGTATCTAGCTACTTCTTGAACATGTTTTGCGTACATTTTTTTCACTGGTAAGTTACTACTTTTAGGAGTCTTTGGAAGGCAAGCACCAGTAAATATATTTGCTTTACCCTGGAAATTTCCCTATGAGAAGATGTATACGAGTAGAAATTGTGACAAACTAATAAGTCAGACTAATTTCTAGAATAATTTAATACACAACAAAAAAAATTTTTTTTTTTTAATTAAATATTTTATCTGCCTGATGAGGCAAACTAATAATTTTGTAACTTAGAAACATTAAATACAGAATGCTAAATAAATTGTTTATCGTGGCCAATGAAGACTATATGGGAAGGAAAGACAGAAGCCTGCCATGTATATAGAGAAAGATGGCCGAGCACACCTCCCGTGTGAAGTCGACCGTGAAGAGTGGCGAGGACGAGGACGGCCCGGGTCCGTGCTGTGAGGCCCACTGCTCAGGCTTGCGGCGGACCAGCTCCTCGTACCCGAGGGCTACCCTGTTGTAGGAGTCCTACGCAGGACAATAAAAAAAAAAAAACACCACCACTGACACGACTTCGCAGAAGTTTTACATTCCATTACAAATTCTCGGCTAATAAAACTGTCAAGTCTATAAATATTCTACTTCCAGTTAGTCTAGTACCTCTCTGCGCTCAGGAGGCCATAATGCACTTAAAGACAGCGAATACCGCAGGCTGAGAATACAAAAAGTACAGTAATCAGCCCTCCACATTTTACATGATGATGGGGAGTCACATTCACAGGAGTCTCCAACGCCTGGGATACTACCGTTTTGAGCTTGTCAATATGTCACAGAAAGGCTGTAATGACCGTCAGCAGTAAACACAAGAGGCTATTCCCGGCCCCCGTGTAGCTGCCCGAGGGCATGCCTGTAACTGGAGTCAAATTTTTACAAGGATGAGTCACATGCTAAAATGGGTGTGGTCAACGATTCCCACAACAAGAGGGGGTCAACAAATAGCAGTAGAATGAGCACTGCTTCTTTGAAAGAAAGAGTTGATGGGGCTGCACTGGCATTTTCGGGGGAGCTTGTACAGGTCCTCAGTGGGATATTGAGGGGATGTAGAGCAGTCAGCCCCTGCAGTGTGGATTTCTGCTCCCCAGCAGTGCAGTATAGGTTAGGGTTAGGGTAAGGCTTAGGGACAGCCTTGTAAGTGGAGCACTTACCCTCTGCAGTGTGGATTTCTGCTCCCCAGCAGTGCAGTATAGGTTAGGGTTAGGGTAAGGCTTAGGGATAGTCTTATAAGTGGAGCACTTGCCCTCTGCAGTGTGGCTTTCTGCTCCCCAGCAGTGCAGTATAGGTTAGGGTTAGGGTAAGGCTTAGGGACAGCCTTATGTGGAGCACTTACCCTCTGCAGTGTGGCTCTTTGCTCCCCGGCGGCACAGTAAGGCCCGTCCAGTGAGTTGAAGCGCTCCCTCAGAGGCGGCTGGTACACGGACGAGTGCAGCACCTCAGGGGGCAGGGAATTGCTGCGAGCGTCCTCCCGGTGGTACATCTGCGGCCGCCAGAGGCGGCGGCTGTCGTACACGGGGGCATAGATGCCGTGTGCTGGCGCCAGCTGGCCGTACTGTGGGGCGGGGCCGTAGGGGGGCGGCCTCTCCCGCAAGGAGAAGGATGGGGGCTGCTCAGGGTATCCAGCCACGGCCGGGGGCAGCGAGGACTCGGGCACGTTGCTGGAGCGCAGGAAGCGGGTGACACACGGTTTCGGCGGGGGCACTGCGGAGGCATAGTAATTACCTGGAATGATGGAGGACAACAGTGCATTACTGCCATACTTATCAACAACTCCAACCAATCACATGCTCAAGGCAGGGCAAATGCCAACCAACCACAGATTTTTCACTGTAAACAGCACGTGAGTAAGCCAAAAATTGTTTTGAATCTCCCAGCCCCCACAGTACATCTGGGCTTGCTGAAACTATTATCCTAAAGTTCCTGATGACCTTCATGTATTGCTAACACTGTTCTTGCCAATATTCCTCAGTGTTCCAAGAAAATTCACACCTTAGGTCACAAGAGTCACATACATCGGATCACTGCAGTTCCATCAAACCTAAAGACGCTTGTTATTACGTCTGTGCTTCTCCACTACTCATACAAACAGAGACAGGCCAAATGATTTAAGCGGTCGGACTTACTGGATGGGGGGTATGACGGTGTATCAAAAGATGTCCTCTGTTCCTGGTAATAAATGTCCGACTGCGGAGGGTACAGGGGGCCCCTGAGGATGTAGGGCCCATGTTTGGGGTGTGGAGAGCTGCTGTCCGCTGTGGAGCCTGGGGCATGAGGTGAGGTAGCTGAGATGTGATTGACGGGTGTCTTCGGAGGAGATACAGTCTTCCTGGAATGGGACAGCACAAGAGGAGGGACATCAACCAAGAGGGACGCAAGGCGTCATGCACTGAGGCTGTAAGGCCAAGCTGGGTCCTGAGCACTTCTGTGAAAAGGTACATCTTAAGGTCTCAGGGACATAAGGTCTCTACTGGGGATTGGACCCTGAGCTACTGCACAGCCACATCTCTCTCTCCTCCCCTCTGACAAACGATGAAAGATCTTAAGCAGTCAGTCCACAAGTATCAGTGAGTCAGGCTCCTCCACAACAGAGCTAATTACTCAGCACATCCTGCTGGAAGTCATGCTCTGACACTCTACTCCCCAGGCTGTACTGCTAATGCACTTCACACACATATATATATGACAAGCGTTTGTTTATCTAAGACAGTGTTTTCCAATCTGGTCCTTGTGGACCCACCGACAGTCCACGTTTTTGCTCTACCGGGAGCAGTGAGGAAGCAAAATGTGGACTGTCTGTGGGTCCCCAAGAACTGGGTTGAGAAACACTGGTCTAAGGTGCTGTTATTTCCTATTATTACACGGCTCTCTGGAATGCTTGATTCTGATTGGTCAGTTGAGACATTTGCAGGTTCGTTCTTTTCAAATAATAACCGCTTCAAAGTAGTAACGCATAGCCGGTACTACTTGTATGTTTAAAATCCCTCCGCGCCAACAAAGATTAGCGTTTAAAAATGTTAATTTAAAACAAATATGCCAATAAAATGTTTCAAATTCATATTCATGTCCAGTTTTTTTCCTTATGTGGCAAGTAGCCGTGTAATAAGCGGGATAATGTACAGGCAGCCGGTAGTTATCGTGAAATAAGCCCCTTCAGTGTGATACAAGACGCTCCGCTTCGCGTCGGGTCCTAATCACACTGTAGGGGCTTATTTCTGCGATAACTACCGGCTGCCTGTACATTATCCCTTACTTAATTCTTATTTATTATTATGTATCATAAATTGTTATACTGACCGTCTTATATACATATGGTACTTTGTTCTATGGTACTAAGTAAACAAGTTTCACTGTACTATTTACTTACTACATACTTATTTTGTACATTGTACATGACAATAAAAACACCCAGACCTTTGAACCTTAGTGGCCTCTCCCTGTTGCCTAGCCCAATGCGGACAGGACCTAGCAGCCACACAAAACCTCACACACTTCCTCATTCCCTCATTTCTGTCAATCAGATCTAAGTCTCTTCTGAAGATTTTCAGAGCCCGGTGGGCTTCCAGTTGGCCTGGTTCGACTTACACTATTACTGTTTTTATCTGTCATTTTCAGCATTACTTTCTGCTGTCTGTTAATTTTTTCATGTCCATTTACACATAGTGTTGCTGGAACGCATGAGCTGCTCATATACAGTCATGCTGGACTCTTACTACAAAACCATAAGCATAACTGAATGGATGGCCTGCATAGAACACTGTGCTAAACTCTGTTCATGTAAAGTTATAAAAACTAGGAGGGGCCAATCCACATTTTCTCATTTCTGATCCGATTCCGATACACAACCACCAATACCGATACAAGAGCTATTTTACTTTAATATTTTAATATATAAAATATATATAATATATATTTATACTTTATATATTATTGTTAATATTTTGAAACTAGCAAATACAGATGAAAAAATGTATGCCAAAAAATCTTTAATCAGGCCACCTCATTTGTTCATCTTTTTGAGGCATTTTACAGTTCAATTTCAATATCTTCCAAGCGAGGATATGCAAGTGGCAAATGCTTAAAATGCCCCACAATTTTTCTCCCACTGGGAACAGTGTTACTTACACTTCGCTGCTTTCGCAGCCCCTCGTGTATCACAAGCTAGTGACTCCCAAATCATCCATAGCCTTTTTCATATTACTCGCGTTGTCTCGCACGAGCGTGTGCGCTTTCTTTAGTGGGATTTTCCACTAAACGCTACTCTCAGAACTGTTTTTACAAAGATTGAAAATTGCTGTGCTACAAGTTGCTGTTAAAAGCATAAAATGCTTCCAGACCGTCACCCTCTTGTCTGTTGTTTTTATGCTTCTCCTGCAGCGAAGGCTATGCGCGTGACGTCACAGAAGGCGGAAGTCACCGCAGTCACACCCAGTGAGGGGCAGAAAAACTGAGTGTGTCAACGTTCAGCTTGAATGCCCCCAAAAACACAACTAAAATGGGAAAGAGCTTTCGTGCAATTGATTGTACAAATAGATTTAACACGAAATTGGAGCTGTCTTTTTAGAGACTGCCGAAAACTAAATAAGAATCGGACGTGCATCTCTAAAAAAAAAAAAACAAGTCTTTATCGAGACTCTATGGTATCTATCTCACTATAATATCAAGACTATATGGTATCTATCTCACTATAATATTGAGACTCTATGGTAGATATCTCACTATAATTTCGAGACTCTATGGTAGCTTTCTCACTATAATATCAAGACTCTATGGTAGCTATCTCACTATAATATTGAGACTCTATGGTAACTATCTCACTATAATTTCGAGACTCTAAGGTAGCTATCTCACTATAATATCAAGACTCTATGGTAGCTATCTCACTATAATATTGAGACTCTATGGTAGCTATCTCACTATAATATTGAGACTCTATGGTAGCTATCTCACTATAATATTGAGACTCTATGGCGGCTGGCTTACTGCTCGCTCTGGCTGGAAGTGGGGCCACTGGGACCAGCCGCTCCATTGGATCCATTCCGGACCGTCCTCTTCTGTTCATCCAGAGTCTCCCCACCCCTAGGGATGAGCTGGGGAGGGGCTGTGCCCTCCATCAGTGACACTCCTTTCTCCGCGCTCTCTGAGTCCCCTGGAGAAACCCCCCCTGCAGGGGTACTCGTCACACTGCCCCCCCCTTTGCCTAAAGGTGTCTGGGCGGATGGGAAGTTTCTGCCAGTGTTGCTGATCTTCTTGTTCCTCATCCTGAACCTGGCACATCGGCGGGGAGAGAGGGGAACCGCGTGTTAGAGGCTGGGGTGCAAGGCTGTGCACGAGCTACCCGTGCTTCAGAGCATCTCTGCACCCACTCACTTCTCAAGCTCGTCCTGGGAGTGGGCGAAGGTGCAGTTGGTCCCCCGGGGACAGCCACCCTGCATGCGCAGGTCGCGGCACATGCTCGTCTTGTACTTGCTGTTTGGTTGCGGCTGGGAGGAGAACAATATAGTGACAGACGGCTGCAGTGTCGCATGCTGCATTGTTTCCGATAATCTCATATTGGGTTGCGCCGCTCGGTCTCGTGGGGACACACTCGGAGGCGGCGGCTACCTGTGGGGTTTCGTGGCTCTTCTTGCTGAAGTTCTGGATGAAGTCTACCAGGCCGTGGACCACCACCTTCACAGCCAGCATCACCTTCTCCAGCTGGTCCCACGTCGGGGAGGCGGCATCTTTAGAGCCAGAGCGTACACAGGAACGAAAGGTCACCTCTCAGTGAATTACAGGGAGACAAGCTTTTTCCACACCCAGCTGCCGCTGAAGGTCTTTTCCACTGAAGTCAGAACATCCGAGATGTTACCTGGATTGTGATCGATGTTAGCCAAGAGCTCCAGCTGAGGTCTTAAGCTGTTCAAGTTGGCTGGATCTCCCGTCCTCTGAAGAACAATGGTCAGCTCCTGGACGCTTTTTGCAAAGGATTCTGGGGACTGGAGCTTAAATGGAGCAAAGCAAAAACAATTCAGTACAATTAATACATTCAGTTATAGCCACTGTGACATGAGATTGAAGTCCACAGAAGGAATGACTGGGGACAGCACGTGTCAAACATGACAGCATATGGAAGTTATGTCAGTTTTATCGTTTTTATAGTAACTATTCAGAAGATACCCACAGAGAAAACAGACTGTTATTTATGCGTGAGGTTCTGAAATTACAGCATAAAAGAAATTGTTTTTTGGGATCCGGTGTCCTGAATGTATAGAAATCAAGGCATTTACTCTATGGTAGGAGTCGGCAACCTTATTAAAGCAAAGAGCCATTTCATCCTAAATGTTTGACCCAAGATTTACAAAGAGCCACAATGAGTAGAGAAGGGAGTTTGAGATACGATTTTTTAATGCAACATCGGTATATATGCATTTAACATAAAAACGTAACTTCAAAACGGGGGGGGGAGCGTCTCAGTTTTAAATCACTTGGACGCGTAACAGTGCAAAGGTGACTGATATTACAACACTGATCAGTTCTGTAGCGATAGTCTTCACCTTCACCCCTCCTTTCTTGAGTAAAGTCCGTTCGGCTCTGCAGTCGTTTGGCCTTCACTCTCCACTTCACTACTGTAACTGTGCTGACTGAGCAGTGCAAAACTCACTACTCCAAACTCAGCCGGCTATAATATGGAAATCAGACAAAATTTAATGATCTTTTCGAAGACCTGGGAAGGCGTGGTGACGATTTACTACAAAAAGTATATGAAAGAATTAGGAATCCCAATAAACGCTGAAGCGTGCATCCAATCTCAGGTACTGTAGAAAACTCCGGAAAGCATATCATTTGACCGTAGACATAATCTCTTTGAAGAGATTTACTTTGAGGAAGATGTAGATGATGTAGTTAAGATGTCACAGAGGTGCGCGACGGACTGCCTAATTCACAGCTAAAGAAATATCTAAATGAAAAATAATACAGTATTAACCCATAAATAATGTATGTTTACAAAAGTATTATCAAATAATTTGTTAAGATGTGAAAATGTGAATGCGTCTATCATTCTTAGAAGAGCCGCATGTGGCTCATGAGCCGCAGGTTGCTGACCCCTAGCCTATGGGATCGAGGAAGAGGCTCAGACCTTGTCGATGATGGACTGCATGTGGGACTTGTGCACGAGGTCGCCGTAGAGCAGCGAGGACCACTGCTCGGGCGAGATGCGCAGGCCTGCCTCCATGGCAATGTGGACGATCTGGGCGTCGTGCTCCCGCCGTAGTGCCTCGTATGTGCGGAACTCCTCCTTCAACTGCATGAGGGATGAGTCCTCATCGCGCTTGGTCACCTAGGAGGGCAGCACGGCCCGCAAGTGTGCGTTAGCGCACCTCAATCATAAACTCATAACTGATCTAAAAGTGCTTCGCAGGTGTCCTCAGACAATGAAAACTCAGGTCAAATCAGGTGTGAGAACCAGTGTCCTCCCACTCAGAATCTGCCCTATGAGTGATCATCATTAGACACCAACTTATTACAGATGCAGAGATGAATTCCATCACTAATTTTTGATTTGCCAATGGAGAGAAACCTCATAGCATCCTGATTCTAAATCTTTTTCAATCACTGTGGCCCTTGGTATGTGCATAGAGTGTCCCGACCCCTTCCCCCTCAATGGCATGTGTTGTACACACACCCACTTGGTGACCCTTCAGAAGCTGCCCTGCAGTAGTTGTCCACAGGAGGGCTGGGTTTAAAAAATCGATTCCTGATCTTCATTTGCATAATCCAATATTGATTCATAAAATCCTGAGATCGATTTTTTAATATATGCCTTTTACAGCCTGTAGCCTTTTCCCGTGGAGGTGGAGAAGAAATTTACTCAAAATAAACTACAGGCAAACAGAACTCATTATTATCTACCAATAGAGTTTGTCAAATAAGTTGGCAGTGTTTCCACGAGTTGTGTCAACAGCCACAAATCAGTGTCGACAAATGAAATGTGATTACAGGGCTTTAGATAACGGATGTAAAATTTTGTCCAGACGCTAGCTTTTGGGTATTATATGGACCTCTACTTATGCCCACAATCTGATAAGCAAATTAGGAATATGGCTGAAATATTAATGAGAGGCATATTGTGATGCCCAAAAGTGAGTAAATTCAGCATATCCTTATGTTTAATAAACATGTCGGACATTAAACTGCAAAAAGTACCAATGCACCACCGACGCCTTTTTACCTTGTTTATCCACAATATCTGAAGTGAATCGATTCGGGAAATCAGTAGCTATACCCAGCCCTAGTCCACAGACCATGGAACCCTAGTTACTGAAGAGCTCCACATGCACCTAACCCTCCAGACGCAGGGAGACACGGGGAGCACAGCCTAAGCCCGAAACAGCCCAGCTGTTAGGCAGAGCAGCCCCTTCTGCTGGAGTAACACATGGCTGGGCCTTGCAGCTGTGCGATCTGCTGCATCTGACCAAATATAGCGCACTGGGACACTCTGGGAAAACAGCCTGGATTCCTATCCCGCTACCCATGCCAGGCTAAGTTAAGCAAGTTAATGCATCATTTATCAGTACTAACACCTTCATTACTATTAATTTTCTCTTTCTGAGTGGAAGCTCAAATAATGCACTTAAAAACTACTAGTTACCATGCAAATCACAAACAAGTCATCTGATATTTTTCATATGTACTTCTCAGTCATAAACTCTGATGGTACAGCATTCCAGTTTTCCTTCTACTTGTGAAGGAATAAACATTGTATAAAAGTCTGATTTTTCCCAGTCAACTAATACCAGAAGTTCCCTTTTGAACTCCTAAAATTTGAAAGTGTTACCTTCCATATTCCAATATTTTTCATTTTATATTTACTGTATGTTAAGTGTATGTTCTTCTGAAAACACAAGTGGTCTCCTTTTGATGAGAACAGTGGTGGGTGATATAACGATATTTTATTGTGACCGGTTGCAACTGTATCCACAATAAGCATTTCAGTGATTGCAAGAATTGTGATACTGCCCTACTTGACACTATTATTATAATAACAGAACAAACCAGGAAGCACCTATAACATCATATAACATATAACAATGTCTGTGTGTGCAACAGTACAACAACAAAAACAAATCTAAGTGAAAGAAAAGCTATGTCAGCCTGCACAACAAAAGCACTGTCCATGTTTCTCACTTTTTGACAATTTTCTGTCTCAGTGGATCTCAAGTTAGTAACTAGATCTTACTAAACTGGTTAGAAAAAAAGAAGAAAATAAAAAAACAAATTAAACTTAATGTACTCATTCAAGCTGAGAAAAGACTAATTTTTTACGGTTTTACAGAATTGCTGGTTAATTGGTTTAATGGTTAATGCATTCCTGTTTGGTTGGTTTGAAAACGAATCATGATCTGTATCATGGAATGTGATTCTAACCAACATTATCAGGATATGACATTGCAGCCCACCCCTCGCTGAGAGCTTGCCTCACCTTGAAACAGGACGCCCGGTAGAGCAGCTGGACCACATGGCCGATGCTGGTTTTGGAGGCTTGGGGGAAACGGGCCCCAAGCTTCTGAACCACGAACAGGACCAGCACCTTCCTGGACAGGGCCGAGCCGTCTTCCAGAGCCAGCAGCACCAGTTTCAGGGCGTCCTCCTGCATGGCTGATGCAGACACAGGACATACATACTCGGAACGGTAACTACGGCAACCAGCACAGATACATACACTGAATTTATTCAGTTCAAAGCAGAGGAAGGTGGCTGGGTAGCTGGAATAAACTGCCCGGTACCGCAGTACACACACGAGATTCATTCATATGAGCCACTGGTAAATCCGGCACTTTGTTAAATATAGACAGAAACTGAGACTGGCTGCTTCGCTTCCTGTCACCTGTAGCTTCTAACATTCTCAGAGCCTTGAGCACTGAACAGCTCTGCCAGTGACGTCAACACAGGACTGAGGTCACCTGCCTGTCCGGGACAGAACCAGCTGCCTGCTGAGGTTGGCGGGCTAAGCGGGTGGGTTTGGTGAGGTATGCCGAAATGCAAGCTCGCCGACCGATTATTCTATATGGACAGAAATCTGCGGCAACCAGTGGGTGGCGTGGGAGAGAGCTGGCAAACCGCTGCCTGGCGGCGCATGGACACACACGCACATGCACCGCACACAGACAGCCCACGTCGGCTCTCTTCCGCCTGCCTCACACACACGTATGTTTAGTCACTCGGACCGAGCAGACAAAAGGAAAACAACAACAGAGAAGGGGGAGGCGGGACTCACCGGGCCCCAGGAACTGGCAGCCACGCGCCCGTACCGCCGCCCACAGGTTGGCGGACAGCTGCTGGGGGTTCTGGTGCTGCAGGATGAGCTCGGTGACGGTGCGCTCGCCCAGGGAGCGGCCCGCCCGCACAGCCCGCACGCGGCCCTCCTCCTCCACCAGCTGGCAGTTCACCAGCATGACCAGCTTGCGCTGCATGGGCCGGCTGAGCGTGCTCTGGCTCAGGGTCGCCACACCTGGGCCGGGCGGGGAAGCCATTAGGGAGAGGGCAGCAGTCATATCAGCTAGTGCCAAGCAGCCACTCTCCTCTAAAAACACCAAAAACACAGAGATGTCTGCCTGCAACGTGTACTGTAAGCATGCTGGAATGCTCTGCAACAAACTGGTGTCCTGTCCAGGGTGTCCCCTGCTTTGTGGCCTGCCTCCCCACAAAATTCCATGGTGGATTATGGGGGGGGGTTTAAACGATAGAAGCAGTGTTTTAATGCTGAGACAGCACCATGCTGCACATTGCATTGTTTTTCTGTAACAGGCCATAAATCAATAACCTGCGCTTCAAATCACAAGAAGAAGCTGGCAGGCAGGCAGGTTCCCACATAGTCGAGGCGGCTCCATGCATCACACTGTTTTTCTCATGTTTCTCCACTTCGAACTGTGACAAACCATAAAACAACAAAGGGCAGGAAGTACCTCCCTACCCCTGTCCGCGAGGCGAGCTTTCTGGCCAGAAGGGGGCGCCGCCATACCTTTCCCTCCACTGAGGGGCTTCAGGTAAAGCGCCAGCTCCTCCACGCACTGGCGGCACGCCTCATAGTGTTTGTTCTCGCTCACACTGCTCAGCGACACCGGCTGGCGGTCTGGCACCTGGGTAAAAATACAATGGCCGCCATGGCCTTGAGTAACTTTGAGTAACTTAGAACACCGTAAAATAATCAGATTAAAACATACACAGGCTAATAAAGTACACTTCTGAGACCATAAACAACTGCGACCATAAACCAGTGTCCCTGTATACTGTAATAATCATTTGCATATATTTGCATATATCAAGGCCCGAATCACTGCTATTGGTCCGGTGGTGATCATGTGACCAACCTTTCACACTCACCTGAGCTCCAACAAGCTGCAGCAGGGCGCAGTTGACAGGGAGCAGGTCAATGTCCGTACTAATGGCCGTCTGATCGAAGGGACAGGCCTTGCGGTGCAGCTTGTGCAGGCAGGTTTTGCAGACGGTGTGGGAGCAGCCTAGGCTGATGGGCTTGTGGCCACTCCCATCAAACTCATTGTAGCAGATGGGGCAAGAGAGGAACTCGGTCCACTGAGCCGCCTGCACCGGCATCCTGTCACCTGCTGGTGGGGGGGCTTTGCTCAAGGGGATCGCATGCCGCCACACCCGGATGGCTCACAGACAGCTGAGGGTTGGGGGAGAAGCCAGAGAGGAGACCTCCATTAATAGGCTGGAACGCATTTAGCACCACACACACGTGCCCCACTGCACTTCCTTACAGCGTTTCAGCAGCAGCTCCCTGCTATAGCACTTGCCGTGTGTTTCGTCTATTTTTGTTGCTTTACATACTGCATTATATCCCCGCAACTTAACAAGTAACAGATACCGGGCTTCCCCAAAACACAACCACATGAGGCAGCATGCGGCGCAGACCCAGTCCCCCCATGCCACCCCCAGTCACAAGGTATCCGGTGCTGAGCTGCTTCCTGCGAGGCTCGGCTTTCTCTAACTGCGTGAAGCCTTAGCTGGCGTCATGCTCTCTGAATTCACCCCTGCTTTGCCCTTCACACCTGCAGACAGGCCAAGATCACAGGCCAGCCTTCCCGAACGTGCCACAGAGCAGGCATCCGGGGTCCCGTTCTGTACACCCGCACCTCTCAACTCTCACTGTATAACTGGGTCTAGGGAGCTTGGTTTATGACTCATTTAGTTTAGGCACATGGATTATGCTACGATTGTAGTTATCTCGACAATGAAGGTATCCATAGTGATTTTCCTTTCTGGAAAAAGTGTGAGAGTCTCAGTGCATGCAGTGCACAGCATATAATGCAGACTCCTGGGCAAACATTTCCTCCAACACACTAACAGACACACTCATGCAATCATCCAGGCCCTCCCTTGACTGCTCCCTGTGAACCATGTGGGGTTAGGGACAGCTTCCGTCTCAGAACAGGCCGTTTTACACACCGCACGTCACTTTGATTTACATGTGAAGCTTTCAGCCACTATAAATAGTCACGGGAACCGAAGACGGTGAGGGTTGAGGAGAGGACTGACAGGAACGGTGTGTGTGACATAGGCAGGGTCCTGTGTGCTGTTACTCTAATAACACACTCCTTACACTGTGCTATGTGCATACTGTTATTCTATTAACACACTGTTTACACTGTGTTGACTGCATAATGTTACTCTATTAAAACACTCTTTACACCATGCTACCTGTGTGCTGTTACTCTATTAACACACTCCTTACACCATGCTACCTGTGTGCTGTTACTCTATTAACACACTCCTTACACCATGCTACCTGTGTGCTGTTACTCTATTAACACACTCCTTACACCGTGCTACCTGTGTGCTGTTACAGAAATCTATTAATCACCTTCTTTTTATAATGAGGTATTACCAAAAACGAACGTACAGTACAATGTTCTTAACTTTAATTCTCCCTCAGATAATAACAAGATCAATAACCACAGCTCACATCCCAAGATAGGATGTTTAAGCCTTTCCCATCTGTCTTGCTTCTATACAAATGAAATTGCATTAGGCACATTGTTTTCTCAAATATGAGGAATCTTTTAAACCAATAAACCTCACTTCACTCTCCATGAATTTGTTAAAATATACAGGAAAGTAATAATAAAACCTATGTAAGGCCTGGCTACTATACGCAATGGATACTGCAAGCTACATACATGAGCACAGCTTCAGTTTCACCATACAAATTGAAAAAGATCCACGAAGATGTACTGAAAAACAAATGGATGTAAGCTGAAAAAGAAAACCAAGCTTACATGTTTACACTGAATAGGAATACACTAAACCAGGAAGGGGGCAATAGATATTGCACACTATATATTTTACCAACCACCTTCATTTCTACTTCTCTAACTCAGGATTACTTAATATCATTTGATATCAACATGAAAATTGATTCGCTTGTTGCACAAATTAATCATCCCTGTTGTGCAGGGTGCCACTAAAGCAAATGGTTAAACGTCTCCAGTCGATATTACAGCAGCATGTTTGAGAGGCATGAGAAAAGCAGATCCCGTGGGAAAAGCCAATGGACATACCGTGCCGAACAGCCCGGGCATTCCAACACGGCCTGCGAGTCCCAGGCAGCTCCATGCTCATCCCGTCATTCATGATCTCACTCCGGAGTACTGAGCAAAAAAGCGGCTCACGTTTAAGGTGGCGGCTGCCTTAAACACCGAGGGTGCCAGTGACGAAACATGCGCAGAGGGAAACGTTCTGTGGCGGAAGGGCGGGCTCTGTGAGGAAGTTGGTATATGGGACACAGTCGTGCTGTAAATAACACAGTGCGAGCGTGATTCACATTCACATGGATGACCACCTGCCATTTCCTGTTATCTGACCTCTGCTAGGTGTGAAAAAAAGCGTGTACCAAATTGTACATACATTTATAAAACCACATAAAACTCTACACACATATACTGCATAGAACATGGAAATGGTTCCAGAAGGACACTCATATTTAAGAACTATTTACAGTCTTTAAAAAAATCCCAAAGCAGGCCCATTCCTACATGTATGTAACCATGCATGCTGTCGACATTTAGCCCACATACTTGTTGTGACGCCTCTCAGAAGGGTAATGTGATACGAAGCTCCTACACAGACAGGCAACACGTTCCCATAGCCTCTGCTTCCCCTGTTTGTACAAGGATACTAAACTGCGTCATTAAACCAACCAGCCCTTTGCGTTTATGTTAGGCACCCTCTGGTAAGCGATCATAAATAATATTCTTTCAGGGGAACAACAAAATTAAAGTGAGTAACACTGTGCAAGTAGCTCAGGATTATGTCAGGTCCAAACCAACGTTCAAGTGAAACAGCAATAAAATCTAATTTATTATAAGCTAGAGTGGCCCACAAGACCTTTAGACACAGACCCCTAAGATTAGGGCAATGAAGAGAAAAAGCAAAATCCCCTAACCATCTACAGTTAACAAAAAAAAAAAAAAACAGGAAGCTTTGTTCACCCTCATATGACAAGCGTAGCTGTGCTTCTGAAACAGTCCCACACTCAGAAAAAAAATTCTCAAAGGGCAACTTACACAGATGCAAATATTATACTACAATTGTCATAGTCACATGTTACTTAATCATAATTATCCAAAATTATACCACCGTAAAAATTTTTAATTCACGTGCTTTAAAGGTAATGACCAGACAACTGAGAGCTGGCTAAAGGTCATAAAAACTACATTAACACTATTTACCCATTGCATGAGCTCTGCTTAACCCTTTCTTTCAGTTTCAATTTTACAGAAAAACCAAGCAACAAACTTAGATACTGGTAACGCTGAAGGATGCGTTGCAGTCCAACTCCTTTGATACTGAGGGAACAGCGCGTCCTCACTAACAATGGCAGCAAGATGTGAACTGTGAAAAACACAAATGGGTTGGTACCACAAGACCTCAAGGCTGCCTGCACACATGACCTGGCGGCGCCACGGTGGTCCCAAGGGCATCGCCCATTTACTTGGGGCACAGAGCAGGGATGCGGGGTAAGAGTCAAAGCCCTTGTGCTCCCTGGCACCTTCTCCTGGGAAGCTCAGAGATTACAGTGAACCCCAGGTGAGCTGCTGAACATAGCTTTTCATGGTCTGACATGCAAAAGTATCCCCCACCCTGTACGACAAAAACTAAGACAGCACAAGTACCTGTTGGCTCAAAACTCATGAGGAAAAACTTAACAGTACACATAACAGCAACAGTATATGTGATTTCTAGCATTATGGGATCAGAAAACGATTATTATTCCAGGTTCACTCACAAGTGGAAGCACAACTAACATCATGTTGTCTATAATTAGGACTAACTTATAACCAAATAACTTATAACACAGCCTACCAGTTATATGCATATATACACAAAGCATTTGGCAGAGAAAAAAGCATTTTATTTCTGTAAAATGGTCACTAAGTGTGGGAGCATGTGTTCTGGTATGTAGATATCAAAGAGGATTCATTCTGTATCACACCAGCAGGCTCAATTAGCACTGGGTTAATGTAATCTAATGTATATCTGTTATCAGTGAAAGGACTAACTGTCTTTGTAACTTTGAATAAAGTAATTATTGTTCTACTTATAAATAACACAGAACCACAACCTACATGACTGCAATTACTACAACTACAAACTTTCTCTAAAACCCTACATAAGTAGCACAATATAAAAATATAAAGAGCTGTGGGAGAATGGAGGAAAAGGTTAGTTAAAAATGTGTATTCGTCCCACAAAATTGTAATGACTATAATACTATTCACACTATATCCCAATTTGTATTTTGGTTTTATATTTACTGTACTGTTGTGGCTAGCATACAATTCATAAAAGAGGATACCAAGACATGCTATGTTGTGGAGCATGAACGAATTAAAGCTTTTTTATAAGAATCTGGAGTGAAAAACATCTTAGAAAATGGCAAAGTACCTTACTTACATATATGGCCCATGCATAGGCTTAGACATATTTCATTTACAGTAATTTTAAAATACATGAAATGTACATAATGTAATGTATATTTCAGACCAGGGAGAAAGTTGTATATGTTGCAGCAGTCATCGTGCTCACCAAAGGATAAAGTTACTTTGAATGCAGAGATCTGTGCAACATAAATGTTTTGTTACATTATTAATAACTTGTTACTGGCAACTTAAGCAACCCATACCAATGAACTCCGAACAATCTCGTGGCGCGCCTTATAAATGCAAGCGAAAGTGAAACAAAAATATTATAGTAACCGTATAAGTTGACATTAATATGAATAATTAACCTGTTAGACGCCGAATCGGTTATGCGTGGCCTAATTAGCAGGTGTTTTATTTAACGTTTAAGGTGCACTTTGCACTGTGCAGGGCCGTGTGCGTGTACCGCAGTACTGAGAGGGGCTGTAGAAACGTTTTTAAACGGGAACTTCCCTTCAAGGAAGCCTTATGGAGGCAGTTCGGATACCTCTGTAGCAAAAATCTCCACTACAGCGGTTACGGCGCTCAAAACGTCGGCTTTGCCCAAAGGCTCCCGGCTACGCAAAGCTGCCTGGCGCTGGCAACATCTCGGGAGGAATTTCTCCCCCCGCAGCGCCAAAAAGTGAACCGACTTTCTAGCGTGCCAAAGAGGCGACGTTTTCGCGAAATTTCTATCGCCCTGTCGTATCTTAGAGCCCGTTACTGATCGCGGACCCTCTGCAGGAGGAACTCCGCACTTGCTGGGGTGTTACTATACAGTACATACTCTCTCAGGCTGGAGGTGCTCAGGGCGCATCTGACAGCTGCCCCTAGCTCTTATCGATCCGCTGGTGCCTTTGATTATGTTATATAATCAGTGTCAGTCAGAAGCGTGCATCTAGGAGCATGCGACGTTGCTGGAAACCAGCGACTAAAGTCACGACTGTCAAGTCACTTACCTCAGGCACTACGGTAAGAGAGTAATATCCATCGCTTTTCTCGACTAGGAGAGGAAATGGTGAATATACTTTTTCAAAAATCAAGAACAACTTCACAGAAGCGACAAAAAGCCGCAGTTCTTTTCACGGGGCTACGTGTCATGACATGATATATACCCTGTCACGACAGTAATTTTAACGTACATATCGTTCTGATTTTAGTCGCGGCTCCGCGACGACGCGACATCTCCGCTCAGTTTCGCTCCCTCCGATTGACAGCTGGAGAGGCTCCCCGCCTCGTATCCCTCCGCCGGCACCGCGCGCTCGCTGCGCGCCGAGGCCAGATGTGCTCAAACCGCCGCGGCGGCAGCGGCGACGCGCCTTGACGCCGACACCGCGGGATCGACGGAGCTGTTTAAATCGCGGCGTCCCGCTCGCCTCGCCGAGCCTCTGTTTACGTGGTACTATTTTCATCGGGTGGGCAAGGATAAAGATGTAAAGGGGCAAAGCCGGAACAAGCCGCTTTTTGAGGCGTAGGCTGCATCTTTTTAAAGAGACAAGGATGCCATTATAACGGGTGCAGTGTGCACTGCGAATTTGGATTTCAAAGCCTTTCTGTAATCGAAGTTTCAAAGGAATACTGTGTTGGACTCAAACTCAACGGTGTCCTGTACAATATTTTGAAGTGTTCATTTTATTTCTATGGCAATTCATTTTAACTATTGTAGTATTTTAACGGTTTTCTGACAATTACCTGCAGGCCTTAGGCGCGTTTCTCATTCCTTAACCATGACTGACGTATGGGATAAGCATCGTTTATATTAGGGCATGTGTTTTTTAAAATGCAAAGATCTCACAGTCAATTCATTACCTGTTGCCAATACTGACAAAAAAATTAAGCAAATAGCCAGCATAAGCTTTCCTTTTGTTTGTTTATCTCTAGCCAGGTGCATCGCTTGACCAAAAGGCTCTGAGCAGGCAAGCATATTCTCCCAATCTAAGTTAAATGGGTGTGTTTTATGATGCATTGCTGCACTGGGATTCTGTCCATTATTTCTTAGAAACGTAGGAGTAAATTCTGCTATACACATTCTCAACCCTAAAGTCAGGGGACATAATTAACTTCTGGACATTATCCTTTAGACTTCTGTCTAATCATTCTTCTTGACTTGAATCACTAAGCAGAGAATGTCTGTAGGAAACAGGACAGTGAACATAATTACTGTTGCATTCTGTTCCGTTTGTAAGTCACTGATGCCAGCCTAACATTGAGAAGTAATAACATGCAAGCTTTCAGGATTTGTTTTATGGTAAGGAAGAAGCAACTTAAACTAACAGGTCCTGCAAGTGCAAATTTCTCGTAAAGTTAAATATCACGCCAGGCTGGCATGGTGGCTCGCTGGACAGCATCTTTGCCCCATTCCTCTAGAGCTGAGGGGTCTGAGCATTAATTCCCTTCTGTATGCAGAATTTGCTGGGTTCCACGTGTTACATCGGCTTCCTCCGAGCACCACTAACATTGCCTATAATGTATGAGTGTATTTGTGTGTGTGTGTGTGTGTGTGTGTGTCCTGTAATGGACTGGAGTCCCGTCCAAGGTGTACCCCAGCCTTGTGCTATGTGCTGCCTCGGATGAGTTCCAGCCTACCCCTGCTCAGTATCTGTGATTGCACGACGGATGGATGAATCGATGTACTCCATGTTGTTATGTAGCACAATCAGCATGAGATCAGCTGCTAAAAATCATTTTGCATTGATTTTTTTCCAATTTCATAAGACTTTTTTCACCCACAACAACATTGTTTTTTGAAGGACATATAAAGTGCCCAGTCATGTACCATCAAACCAGAACACTGCTTTTTGTGTCTTCCAAGTACAGAAACATTGACACAAAGCAAATCTGCCCCACTCAAAGCTCAACACCCTGTTATTTACAAATGAAAACTTTTGAGTTGTTTTGACACTTTTTATCCACAAAAAAAGCCATATCAGCTGAAGTCATAAATGATCAGCAAATAATTTTTATTATGATATATTTCATGATTTGACTGTGAAGGCCACATCTATATAAACATACATCTATCCGTCTTCTAACCTCTTATCCAGTACAGGTTCACAGAGTTACTGCCTTTGTATTAAGGTTACGTATCAGATTATCTTTAAGTGTATTGGAATTCTACCTAAGCTAAACACATGCTTCCTGCCCAGTCATTTGACACCTGTGTTGTTTGTGTAACAAAGCAAACCGCTATTTTGCATGCTTATAGAGGAGTAGGTGATATCCATTATCCTATCCATTTTCTCCCCCCATCTATTCAGTTATGAAGCGCTTCCCCAGGATAGAGTCACTGGGGGCCTGAGCCTATCCCAGGTGGGACAGTGCACAAGGCAGGGGAACCTAGATGGGATGCAAGTCCGTCGTAGGGTGTGGACACACACTATGGGAAACCCACACCCACCAATTCACATAACTGTGTGTCTTTGGACTGCAGGAGGAATCTGGAGTTTACTTTCCATCCTGCAGGAGCAAAGCACAGATGTTTTGGATTTATTTACAAGCTGAACATGGAAATGTCCAGAAGACAAGTGATGAACAGCTTCCCCACTTTGCCACATTTCCTCATTCACAATGAAGACGCGCTCCATCATACACTCAGTCATCACTCGGCTGTGGGTCACCTATCTCATGGCATAAATTCCCTGACCTAACCCAGTGTCCATATATCAATTTATGCTTCCTTGCATTGCATTAAGTTCACGTTGCAGAAAATGTATTAATTTCCACAACAGGGGTGATGGGAATTACAGAGAAATATATGAATCTATCAGTTTTCAATAGCTGCTTATGTATTGTAGGGGTATGGTGAGCCTGGGACGGTCCTTCACCGGGCATTCATCCAGACACACAGTCTAATCCGTAAAACCACATGTGTTTTGCCTGTGGTAGCAAAGCCGTGCAGAAACGGGGAGACGTTGCAGACCTGTACACACAGGGCAGATGCTGTGAATCAGAGCCACAGCTGTGGAGCTGTACGGCCTCAGTGCTGTGCAGACAGCCCCGAAACCTCCCCAGGATATATTCAATAACAGTTAAACCTGATTTTTAACAAATAATGTCAGTCATACAATAATAATCAATCATACTTTCTTTTTTTTTTTTTTTTTTTAAAGGCTTACAACATTCAAAAGCAGTCACAACTGATTTTAGCAATTCATGATGACCTTTTCCCTAACACTGGAGAAAACTGCCCATGCAGTGTGTCAAATACAAGGCAATTTTTTAAGTAGATTAATTCAATATGAGCTCCAGCAATGTGTGAACTTGCCCTCAATGGCTAGAACATGCAAATGTCCAGAAGACAAGTGATGGACAGCTTCCCCACTTTGCCACAGTTCCTCATTCACAATGAAGACGCGCTCCATCACACACTCAGAAACACAACACACGAATGAGGTGAGTGTGCTGACCTACTTACAAAGTGCTCTGCTGGAGGCTCCATCCTTTTGAGATCGGTTATGGATAGCAGGTGTAAGACCTGGGAGCTGAGCCCGTTTTCATGTACATGAAACAATTTTTTAGATGAAGCTCATGGTAGAATTACTCATGAGATTCTAGATCTAAACAATGACTCTTCAATCATCAAAGAGTCGTATTTGTCCTTTTAATCTCAATCATCCTGTAAGTGCCCCTGTAATAGCAAACTTCCATACATTTGCTATTCATGCTGTTGAGGTAAGCATCAAAGAAAATCTTTTGATTTTTACTAATTGTTCACATTCACATAGAGGTGACATAATTTCAATGTGACAGAAAACATTACGACCCTTAAAAGCAATATAACAATACGTTAATGTACTGTACCAGACTTTCCCCAAGCTGGGAGAAAAGGAGCAAATGGGCTTTTCAGCCCAATGGTGAAGTCCCTCTCTCGATCATGGGATTCGAACCAACAACCTTCTGATCACAGGTACCCACAGAGCCACACACCACCCCAATATGCTTAACATAGGTCTGTTGTAATGGTACAAATAATAAATATTTTGCCTTGGCTCCTCTGAAAGGTCTTTAAATTGACATAATGCTGATGATTAGTACATTATGGTCCTTTACAGCAGCCAACACAAATTCTGAACCCACAGTGCCTTCCAAAGCCCTTCTAAAGAGCAGCCCTGTAAGGGCTCAGTGGACATACCCTGTGCTGAGCTGAGTGAGGGTGACATTTCTGGAGCAGACTGCAAAGAAGGAGGAAGCCATCTCAGGCCATGCCAGCCAATGCATTTCTAATGTATCCGTACTCACTGATGCACACAGATAGGTTACATTTGGGGAACGGGGCCCAGTCAACCTCCATATCCACTTCTCTTATCCCATCATATAACCTTTTCCTCAAACATTGATCTGGCAGAAAATAGAGCACGTAGCCTCTAGTAATGACTGAATCATTAATCCCAACACTTGTGTGTTCGCCTCTTGTGGGATGCTGACGCAGCACATACTTCCAGCAGAGACACTGCATGTGGGATATCCATCCATCCATGCATCCATTTTCTGTACCCGTTTGCCCTATGCAGGGTTGCAGGGGTCCAGAGCATATCCCAGAAACGACAAGGCAGGGAATAATGGGAATTAGCAGGAGCGGGTGGCGACCAATCGCAGGGCAGGTATGTGGCATTAAAGGGATTTAACTTCTAGAATCAAACAGGGGTTTACAGTAAGTTCCCTATCAAATTGATTCTTAGTGTGGGTGGCACAGTGACTCAGTAGATAACGCTGTTCCTCCACAACTGCTTGTATGTAGAATTTGCATGTCTTCCCCATATTGTGTGAGTTTCCTTAATGTATTCCAGTTTCTCCCTGCAGTGCAGTTGCTGGCTGATTAGGCAGGTCTTTCTCTCCTGTGTGTTTAGCTTAGATACAAGTTAAACACTGAAAGTAAACCAGATACATATGTCAATAAAAGACACTAATATGACTGATAGCACGTTTTGGTGTCACCCATTTCCATTTCAGTAACTACAGAGAACTAATAAATGGCCAGATTGTAAGTATATTTTGCATGTAGACACATATCTTTAGCATTCGTTAGTCGTTGGTATTTTATAGGCTTACTTAGATTTCACTTGTACTTCACACCTTGTCACATCTGAAAGTGACACACGAACTTTTGTGGAAATACAAGGCAGTCATGTTCCCTGGCCAAACACTGAAGCTGATCAGCTGTTATTGTGGGAGTTACACAGTTGTAGGCATCTGTCCCACACACTCAGCGTCTTCGTGAGCGGAGCACAATGCTGTGCTCAGCCAGAAGCGAAGAATGCTGCCGGAGAAGTGTGCATGATTAAGCGATACCACGTTATGTTTTTAAAAGAAGTAAACAAATGCAAAATAGAATCCAATATAAACCAACGACACTCATAAATATGAC